AAACTGCGCAATAATTTATGAAGGAAAATATGACATAATCACATGTCATATTCGATGGTTGAATATGTGGCCAAAATTTTACACGAGCAAGCAGAAACCTAACACAAACCTGTAGGTACTTAATTATAACTAAAAATATGCTTGAATGAGCATCAGTTGAATCTATCTAGGATCAGAGAGAATACCTCCTGACGAAATTAACGGTATCAGGTACTCGTGATATATGCATTTCTTTGCAAACGAGCATAAACCCAGTCTCAATCGGTCCATTTTAAATTAAAACTTACCATACTCTCAGCCGTACCTTATCGTGACTACGTAATGTCAAGAGAAATTCACAGTTGGATCGGAAACTGTTCATTTAAATATTCTTCAAAGGAAAATGCCCACGTTTTTTCACGGATAAATAGTGATAATGAAATAACGTTTCCTTCGTGCATGGAGATCGATCAAATGAAATTATTAACTTCTTTGGCGATCTGTTCCAGCCGGTTATTAGGGACCTTAAGAAACCACGACGGCGACGCCAAGGAAGACTTCGATTAAAAAATGAATTTCTACTCTTAGTTAGAATTTCAAAAATGGTTGCAGGAGCTGGAAAGAGTACCATATAACCCCATACATTAATTATGCATTCCACTTCTTTGTCTTTCACGACAAAACTTTAAAAACAAAGTCTACTAGTCTGAATGCTTAATTTATGTATGGGGTTATATGGTACTCTTGCCCAGTAGCTTACTGTCTCACACAGCGCCACAGCTCAACTTCAGCATGACGTATAAAGTAGCCGTTGAGTTCCAAATGGAAATTAAAATAATTTGCGGTTTCGGTTCGCAGACGACGCAAATTTTGGCGATTTCACGTTGTTGTTTTGCATAGTACGGCTAAGAAATGTACAAAGTTTCAAAACGCACGTGCAGAGCTATTGTTCTGCCAATTAGATCTCTTGTTTTCCACGTCCTCGTTGCCGTCGCCGTCGCCGTCGGGGTTTCTTAAGGTCCCTATTGACCCTATTGTTTACAGCGACCGGAGATGGGAAGTACAAATTATAAAGGCATAGTGCCTTGAAAATGATGTGTAGGTAGATGATGGTTTGATGAGATGCGATGCTTCAGTTGTTGTTTAACGGTTATATTTTGTTGCTTTATGAATGTGATTAATTTGTTAGCTCTGAAGCAAAGGGATAAATTAAGAAAATGCAATTCAAACCGACAGCCTCGAAAATTAAGGTTTAATTTCAGACGATTTTATACAGACAATTTTTACAAGAGACTAAACAACATTTTGTCATTGTAAATACAAATAAAAAAGAATAGCACGGAGTTTTGTTTACGTGCTCGATCCAGAACGATTACGTGGGTAATGTGGTACAGCGGTTTTCTCTCCTGGTCTTTCTTTGGAATTACCATAAGATTTACTTCTAAACTTCTCCGAGCTGTTTCCTCGTTTATCTGGTCTAATCGTTGGGAGACGAGCAAAAAACATTTATGATAAAGAATTTACACATGATGATTTAGAACTACATTCGATTCGTTTGTTGGTTTTTTGTTTTTCTTTTTTTTTAGAAAGTTTGATTATGTAATTGAATGAGGAAAGTGAGTGTTCTATTTCTCGAGTACAAGCGGTGGACCCTGTTTCTGTTTTCCGTTTTTTCTTCTTAGAAAACAAATAAATATAAGTCGATTCTCCGTCACTCTAGACAGTTATAAGAAACTTGAATCTGACCCTAGACCAGTTTTTTTTAAAGTAGCTCTTTTTCAGTTTAATGGCAAGAAACAAAATCATCATTTAGATCACTGAGAGACGGGATTTACTTGTGTGTTGGGAACGTCAGGCGGACAAACTTCTATATCAGTATGCAGATTAAAAATCAGACAGAATCTTGACAAGCTTTGAGGATAGTTTATGTGAAAAAAAAAAAACAGTATTAGTTCAGAATTAGTAGTGAGTACGAGAATGGCGATTTGTTGTATATATTTTTAACGTCTCAAATAACTGACTGGCGTTACAACTGCAACCTTGATTCGCTTGACATTGCAGATGTCCCAGCGTAAGAAGTGGTGCCTTGTTAGAAAAGCCTAACCCTGACCCTAACGACGCTACGGTGGTAGTTTTTTTTTTAAAGCTATCCTCCCTTTTCGTTCCTTGCGACTTGATGAATTCATGGAACCTTCCTATAGGTGAGTCGGCTAGTTCGATGTGATTGGAAAGCTATTCGATGAACGGTCGAATTATAAAACCTAACAAAAACGTGTAGAAAAGAAATCAGCCATATTTCATAGCCATTGCACTAGCTTGCGAGCTAAGCCTTCATTTCGAGACTAGTCAGGGAGAGGTCTGGCACTAATAATGATTGATAGGCCACTCGCGAAACTCCCGCCGGCTCGCGTTGCTTAAAGCCCTACATGAAAATTACCCATGGGCGAAGCTACAGTCCCAGTGATTTGAAGTCTATAACGAAGACTATTTTGCCACTGACAGCGTAAAATGATAAAATGAAGCAATTTTAAGAAATTTCGTTACTCTGCCATGTCTAGATATGCGTAGGTTTTTGTTTTTTTTTCATTAACTCTCCTTTCTTTGTTTCTTTGTTGTTCACGTGCTCTCATAGAATGATTAGATAAGACAAGATATGATAATGACTTTATTTTAAGAGGGTAGCACGTAACAGTTTAAGTACAACTTGTGACCCTGTGGCCCTCTATAAAGTAATCTAATCAATACATAAAATTAACATAAATGAAAGTAATGATAATTTGATGTATATAGTTTAAAAACCTATTAAAAAGAAAAATACATAAGTATATATACTAAAAATTTATAATAAAAAAAACCATGCTAAAATATCATGATCCATATTATAAAAAGTTCATATCACTATTTTGTTTACTAAGTAAATTGTTTGTAACTTTCTTTGTCAAAGCTTTGGCATTCTTTAGTTCTTTAAGGTCTTTATCCAGGTTATTCCATTCTTCGATTGATCGTACAGTAAATGTTCGCCCACGTTCTGTTTCATTTTTCTAACGGGGACAATTAAAATTTAAGTTACTAAAGCGGGTACTTCTATTGTGGGTGTCAGAGTTCAATTTTAGCATTTGCTTCAGATAGACTGGCGTCTTTCCTAAGATTCTCAGTTAAGGAGTAAAGAACATCTAATTGCATAAGATTCATGGTGGTAAAATGGTATCCAGTTTATTGAACAGTGAAACAGAACGAGAGCGGGGTTCGGCGTCCAAGATGATTCTCAGTGCTCTTTTCTGTAACTTAAAGATGCTGTTTATATTTCCTTTTTATGTTGACGTCCATATATTGGCACCATAGAGAATAAAAGGCTTGATCACTGCTTTATAGTAAATTTCTCTTTGGTTTCTCTTCAAATATGGGCTATGAGCAGGCCAATTCGTTTTGAGATCTTTTTAGCAAGGATTTCACAATGATTTGTGAAGTCAAGATCTTCATCAACCTCGATTCCCAGGATTTTATGTGAATGGACATTCTCAATTGGTGAATTGTTGAGAATTATAGACAGTTGATCTACACTGCTGTTTTGTGCTAGATGTTGCTTTTCCATGCGTTTTTTCAGTCTCTTGCCCGGCTAATAAGCATTGATTTCGTTTTCTTCTCGTTGATGATCATTTTATTCATTGTGATCGAGAACAGTGACTATTTCATTCGCTGTTGTTGTAGTTGTTACTGCTTATGTGTGTGTGTGTTTGAGGGTAGCTCTATCGAACATCGATCACGACCCTGAATGGATTTGAGTAAAATGAAAAATACGATATTTCAACATGCAGCACAAAGGTGGTCTTCGGTATCACTCGCTATTGTTTTTATATGATCCTTAGAGTTGTCTTAGATGAACAAACACAATCCTCAATTTTTATCAGAAGCCAAAGATATGTAAACATCAAAAGGACAAAAAAAAAATATGCTGTTTCATGACTGAGATGATTTTTTTAGACTGTTTTCGTGAAATCGATTCGACCACCAAAGCCGGTTTTCGGAAATTAGAAAATTATAGAAATCCGTTCTTATTAGCAGTACAAAAGCACGTTCGCTTATTTGTTTGTTTTAGACATTTTTTATCCTTTTGTATCGTTTACTGTTTACTTAGAGAAGAGATGTTCTTTTGTTTTGCAAAAATGCTAACAATGTTTTGTGTATTCGGCGGCACCAATCCAAATGCTATCGACGGAACTAACCAAATCGCCTAAACAGGAAACTGAGTCATTCCAAAACCATTTTAAACCTTCTAATCGTCAATTTTCACGAAGAAATTTCGAGTCAAATCTACTCTGACCCTTGCCGAAAATCAAGATATTTAATAGGCTGGAACAGTCAGTCTGCAAGACTTCATATCTCAATGCGTATTTTCGAGGGGTACGTGATCGAGGGACTTATCCCGACATCCGGGTGTCGCGTCATGTTTACGTCACTGTTTCTAAGATCAGATACTTATCGACTAAACGGGCGTTCTGTGACATGCCGTAAAAAATTGCTCGCCAAAACGTTGCTTGCCTGCTAGGACGATTTTCACTTTTCTAATAAAATCACGAATACATTAAGAGCAAGCTTATGAGATGTACATTTGGACGGAAGAACTAGCTGGGAATATCGAGATAAGTGATATGTATAGGGAACTGCGTGAGTTACCGTGCCAGCAATTAACTTTAATTAACTTTAATAATAGCCTTTAGCCGGATGTTAGGTATGAACTACAAGTATCTCTTTCATGTTAATGAATTTTTCGTCGTTTCCTTTTTGTATTTTCGAGCTAAACTAATTATCGTATACAATCGAAAATCAACTCCATTGCATTTTACTCGGTTATCACCATTAAATAATCTCCTTTAATGATGCAATAGTTCTGTCACTCGTCAGAACTGATGTTCCTTTAAATAAAAGCAAACTTCTGCCTTGTGTCAACATGTCATTGAATTACGATGCCTCCTGACCACAATGAAGATGACTTTCACTGATGTATATTACGTGTATTTAAACTTGACCTTTGCTATGAGGTTATCCTCGCTTTTCCCTCAGCAGTAAAACGCGAATTTAAAGGAGCTGCTGTTAATACCTGCGCCAGTAACCATGGAATCTAAGTCACCGGACGAGCGAATGTGCTGTAAATCGTTCAAAGCGTCTCAAAGTACCGTGTTGTACTAGGTTATACACTTTGTGCTTGTAACAACCGTGACATTACCGACATTATTTTACATTTTCCAGCCGGATCATCCTCCACACACGAAACACAATGGGTAAGTAAGTAAACACTATTTTTCAGTTTTCACCTAAATAATCGAAGGAACGGGGACGGAAAAAAACCCGCATGAATTCAACTTTCCTAATTCTTCTTCTAACGATTCCCCTTTTACATATCTTTCCATCAAGTAGACTACATAAAATTACAAACTTCCATCTCCAATAGGTGGCTTCAACTAGGTGTTTTGATCCTGGCCGATAGCTTAATTTTAACTCTCAGTTAAAGGTGTTTGATTTTCTCTAACAGGTGTTCCTTGTCTGGAAAGAACTGCTATTTGCAGGAAAGGGTTTTGTTTTGATTTGTTTATAGCGCGCTTATAACACCTCCTTGGCAAAGTATGATACAGAATTAAACGTAGATGTTTTCATTTGGGTATGAACATTTATGATTCCCTTGACAACTCATATTTGCGAAAGACTTAAGGTGCAATTGTGAACGCTTAAGCGAAACAATCTCGGTGCCCTATACTTTCTCTCAGATTTGATTAAACCTCTAACCTTCGTTCTTGAATATCAAAACACCTTGAGCAAGATGAAGCTCGGTAGCGTTGAGTGAGAAATGTCGAAAATGTTCACAATCGGTTAGATGATGACTGACGTAATTATTTAATTATCTTAGGGAAAAAAATTCCTGTTAAAAAACCTTCCTTTTCATAGGTTAAATACCTATAAACAAAATGATTTTTCACAGTTTCTGGTAGGAAGATTTTTATCAGACAAAGGGAAATTCTGAAGGGGTTTTCTTTGTTTGACTCATTCCTAAACCGGACAACTGTAGGAGGCGTAAATAAATAAACTGGGAAGATCTCGACTATCTTGCGAGGACTTGGAGAAAACGCAGCAAGATCTTATCACTTATATGTGGTATCGGTTAGGTATAGCAAACAAAATAAAAATACCCCCAAATAAACCTTAGACGTATGTATGTATGTATGTATGTATGTATACAGAAATGAAATAAACGAAAGAAATAGTAAAGGTTTAACTATTAAAGTATTTAGAGTTTTTAAACCCTTTTAATCTTTTTTAGCCGTTGCGACATTTGTAGTTTGTTCATGATCCTACACAAGAGATGTTATTCTCAGTATGTGGTGTTACAATGTGAATTTGACGCAGAAAACAACATGATCTTGATTCTGTTCCAGACGCATCCAGAAAGTCACAAAGGTCAAAAATTTTCATATCTCATTACTGTTTTATAACGTGCTACATAATTGTACAACTGTGAAATAACTTTTTCCGGTGTTTTTTAAGCATGAAAATGGAAGGGCCATCTTTCTCGTCGATGCATGACATAATTAGGGTGCGACATTATCGTCAAGCCAAGGAACGTCCGCTTTAATGTCTTTCTTTACTAAATCGACTTCAGCTCCATATAACACTCATGTTTCGACTCCAGCGGATTTAAAATTGTTGCAAGCCTCCACAAAAACTGCCTTGCAAATACACGGTGCCATTAATTTCCTTTGCCAAAAACAACACGGTGCACATAAATTTTTTTTAACATTGCAGCCAAACTTTGGAATGCGACTTAATTTTGAAATGCGACGTAATCGACTAATACTAAAAGTAAACAATAATTCGAGGATTAATTTTTATTATCTTTCGCGTGGGATTTTGATTTTCGTGTTCATAGCCCGTGGTGTGGCGGTAAGGCAAACAGAACTGCCCGGCAAATTAAAGAGTTTTCCCTTTTTTTGACATTTGTTTACATTGGAAACTATATATTTATATTGGGTAGGATGTTTATAAAGGGCAGCATCTATGACTAGGCGAAAATATGTTGGCAGGGCTTCCCGGAAGGACAAAAAAAAAAGCGTTTATGTTAAAAAAGCTGTCGCACAGGTCTTACATCAAATCTATTCACGTTATCCTTGTCATGCGGTCCCTTTCAAGAGGGAAACTGCCCACCGTTGGTATCATACCAACGACTTACAGTCAAATCTTCAGAGTTATTTTTAGAGGAACCTGTAGGTTTTGCTCGTTATACTTTGCGATAAGGGAGTAGCTAAGAAATTAAATTACATATACACTCAAACTTTCTAAAACGAAAATATAAATTACTATACGCCTATTGATCTCTCCCACTTTCTTTTGTTCTCCTTCTTTGAATGTTCCTTTGTTATTTTTGTTAAATATCGCTCTTTCGTTTGATTACTAATCAATTAATTTTGGATGCTTTTTTTATTCATTCCACAGAACTTCCTCTCAAAAAATTGGATATGCGTTGAACTCTTCTGATCATTTTACTCAGAAGACAAGAAATTTCACAATAGATAAAGGTAAACTGGAGTAGGTTTTGAATCATTTAATACCCAGTTCTTAATAGTCAGGTCTGGTTTCTTTTATCGCTTAAACAGATCTTCCGCTCCAATGCAACTCGCCCCTACTCCCCGATAACGAAACCGGTCTCTGTCGACCGCCGTGCGCCTGGACTACACAGTCTCCTTTGACGCAGAAGGCGTACTTTGTTGTGATAGTGGTTGGCTTGTGGCTGGCACTTATTGCGACAATTATAACGTTCATCACTTGGGCCAGTATCAAAAATCTGTAAGTATTTGTTAGAGGAATTTCTTTTGATTGTCGAAAAAAATGGGATTTCAACACTGTTTTGTGATTGGTCCAGAAAACTTGCGCCAAAACCAAAAGCAATCGTAACTCGATTATTCGCATTTTCCCGCGCTTGAACGCTTCTGGTACACGTGTGTTTACTTTGTTTTCTCATTGGCTTCTTCAGATAATTAACGTTGATTGGTCGTTGTGGTTGCTTTTGGTATACTCCAATGAGAACAAGTGTCAGGTCTCTGGGCGTTCTGATTTGATTTGATTCTTAATTCTTTTCTCTGTGAACAGCCGAAAGTTTCCTCATGTTCTGCGATTTCATATCATGGTCTGTTGTGTTATACTCGGTAAGTGATGCTTTATTTCTGGTATAAAATGATGCAGTAGCTTTTCAAATTTTATTCGTTTTGACATTATTCAAACGAGCGTTTTTCTGGAATAAGTGAAACTCTGAGTTTTCCTTACTGTTTCTTTTTCCTTAATTTGTAGGAAACTGCAAAATGCTTCCCATACACATGAGGCCTGAAAAGACTTTCTGCCGCGGTCAGCTTTTTTGGGAGCCCACTGGTCACTCTTCTTTAGCCACTGTAATTCAAGGTAACTTGAACAAATAGATGTCATCAATAGAGGTATAGAGGTATTTCCACAACAGAAATGAGAGGATAGAAATTGAAATGCAGCAGAACCTCAACTCAAGCATGCTTTTTCCTTCACAATAATGTTGATAGTCCCCCTGAGGAAATGTGGGATAAAGGTGGAAATTCATTCACATATAGGCATGGGAATAGTCTTTCTCAGTCTTAAACAAATCTTGGTTTGTCACTACCCAGTGAAGTGGCGAACAGACTGACCGTTAATTCGCAATTAAAGAAACACGACCACTTTTCTCACTATTCAGCACATCCGTCTATCCCCCACTTTCCGTCCTCGTTCTTCAAGCAAATCTTTGGACGGGGTGGGAGGGACGAGATGGTTAACGAGAAGCAGGTTTAGATTGGGTCTCCTGAATGCCCTGAACTTGATAGCTGTATACCATAGCCATCCTACTCTGATCCTTTAGTCATAACTGACTTTTCTATGTTAAACAGGTGCGATGACTCACTATTTTGGTCTGGCTCATTCACTCTGGGCCATGTGTTTCATAACAAACACTTACGCTGTGATCGTTCGCGACAATAGAGCCGTCTTCAAACATCCAATCAAAATTCACCTCATACAGTCTCTATTGTGCTGGCTGGTGCCCGCAGTTATTGTGACCTGCTGCCTCTATATTTCTCCACCTGGATACAATTTCCTCTTTATTGATCTAATGGCTGCTGGTGCCGGAAGCGTACGAATGGCATACTTTGCTGTCACGTTACCCATGCAAGTCTCGCTGGGTGTGTCCCTGTGCTTACTTTGGAGTATTGTGTGGCATCTCAGAAAGGTAGGTGCGGTAAAGTTGTAAATTGGAAAAGGATGTTCTTGTAGTATGATATTCCAGAATTGGGAAGTATATCTAAAAAAATACTGGGAGTGTCCTTTGACATCAAGCTTTCAGAATGGTATATCTCCTTTGGGGTAAAAAGTAGCAGCACACAGATTTTAATATCTCTTTTGTTCACGCAGGCTCGCTTGGACTCTAGAAAGCGTGTTATCCGTGCCAGAGAAGAAAGAATTTCCATGCGAAGAGTTGAGCGCCAGTTCCTGAGCATGGCAGTAGTAATCACGGTAGTTGTGGGCGTGGTAATGTCAGTGAACACGGTGACGCTCTATCGCGTGAGGGGTTTTATTCATGATGCTGAAGTTTACTTCGATTGTTTACTGGTAAGGCTACTCTCAACGATTAAAAACTGTTGAGCCGTTCTTATACACAACGTGAATTATATTTTTTTTACCAAGTTGAATGAGGTTAGTGTTAAGAGAATCAGTGGCTAAATCCTTTACTGCGTTTCATTCCGAAAGTTCCAATCAGAGTTTAGTTTTAGCTCCGACGGGAGTCAGTGTATTATGTATTTGGCAACTAACTCCCTTAAACTGTCGTGCCTTCCTCGACTCAGGAGGACACGGGTAGTGACGAGCGATCACTCCAGGCACCCGGCCTTTTAAGAATTAACAAATGGTAAACACCACAGCGTGCACTATTGAGTTATGGATGCACGCGGGAGGTTGCTAAGCACGAAAGAAGCGTAAGAGTCGCTCGAGGCGATAGCCGAGAGCGACTCTAGCTTCTTGAGTGCTTAGCAAACCTCCCAAGTGCATCCATAACTCAATAGTGTACGCTGTGGTGTTTACCATTTGTTTTATAACATAACATTGATACATTGTAGCTAAAGAGTTCCCTTTTATTTAACAAATCTTACGTGACCAGAAAAAACAAGCGCGCGCGGAAAAATAGTCTTTGCATTTGCTCACGTCAGCAGCGTACACCCATGGGCAAATGGGGGACGCTAAATTGACCAATCAGAGCGCGAGCTTTACTTTGGTTATGTTATAAATACTGTTAGGGTAACTTACGATGGACTAACATCTCATTTAGCGCACGGGGAGGGGGTGGGAATGGGGAAGTCGTTTTCACGAGGGGGTGGAGAGGAGTGGTCGTTTTTCCGGGGGGAGTGGGGAGGGGGTAGTCGTTTAACCACTGATTAATCTTCATTTTACGAAAATGAAATAACTCTTGCAACAGTGGTCTTCGATAAACTGATCGTTCAAGTTGTTCATATTACTTAGTCCGATACGGGCTTTATCTCCTTCTTTTTAGGTCTCTAAGGACTGCAAACCTCCCTCCTGTAACACGGTGCTATCTCTGATAAACGTGGTAGCCCCTGCCTTCGCTTGCCTCGCATTTTTCTTCCTTCTCCTGATGAATAAAGATTGTCGCAACATCTGGAAAGGCTGCTTCCGAAGAATCACAAAGCTTTTTGAGTTTTGTAAACCACCCCCACTAAAACTCCGCGCTGATACAGACCGCTCAAGATGTTCCTCAACACTCACCGTGCTCTCCGTTGACCGCAGGGATTCGGAATTATTCTTTCGACAGTCTTTCGCGTTACCAGGATATATCCCAGGACTGGATCCTCAGCAAACCCGGCAAAGAGCGTCCAGTTTAACTTTCCCTGTCAACAAACAAATAATAACTGTCTCAGATTTAGATATCCAAATTAAAGTTACTCCGCCATCAGATGCAGATGCAGAATTGCGACCTAGGTGCAATTCTGTCCCTGTATTTCTGCTGCAAGATTTAGATTCACGGAGAAGCTGTAATAAAACTGCTACTCTTTCATCCGTTGAATCACTCTCTAGTGACCCTAGTGAGATATCGGCCGCTAACAGTGAAACACCGTTAGAAACTGGGGAGAGTTTTATCCAGGAAATATATTCTTCGAAATTATAATAAACGGAACGACAAAACTCTTTTATTCCAAATTTCAGCCGACGAGAGGTTAAACTGCAATAGGAGACAGAATGTTGGGACAGACCTTTACTCTACTCAGTTTTCCTTTGTTTTGCTTTTCTTTTCTTTACTAAAGCTCGCCATTGAATCAGAGGAATTCCTACTTGAAGCTCAAATACTACCACCAGTCATATTGGAAAAAATTATCAGTGTCGGCTTGACAAAGAGTCAAAAAAATACTAAACCGTATACATTTCAAAGCGGTTATAGGTAAAAGAGCAAGAAGGGTATCCGTTAATTATATTTTCTTGAGAGCGTTTTAACTTCATGTTTCGACTACCTCTGTCGCCAGTTGCAGCAGACCTCGAATGAAAAGATAGATAAATCGATTTCTTCTCCCCAGAAATCGATTTCGCGGTGCAATGTCTATAAAACATGTGCATAGATTATACAGCATTCAGTCAACTGATTGATGTACATAACTGAATGTATAATTTATAATTTTTTCAATATACTGTGGCAATTTTCAGGTCTTTTTTTCTGGTCACCCTGAAAAAAATTATGTACGCTCGAACCCAAATTAGCGGTCAAGTCAGGTGAAGCCACTAACACTCGTTTAAGAAAAAAAGAAAAAAGAAAAAAATTACTCTGTTTCTTCCTTTTGGAATCATATTTCAAACCTCTGAAGAAACGTTAAATATTGCTAGTGATTAAAGACTTCTGATGGTCACACGAACTATAACATAACTCTGGCGCATTTAATTTCAGCAACGACGGATGTAAGTAATTATTATGAACGTTTTGATCAGCAGAAAATAAAATTAATTCACATGGTGCTATTGCGATTTGTGTACATTCTAATTTAATAAAAGACTGATGACAAAGAGTTCTTTGAGGTTGTTAGCATTCTTCTCTATATTGGCTGGTATCACTGAAAACGCTCTTTCTTCTCTCGTGCATAATCAGAGTAGTCGAGTCGTTCCCTTTTCCATGGTTCTCCTGTCAACATAAGGGAAGTAATTATATCATTTCAAGAGGAGAAAACGAAGAACAGTCATAAAGTTTTGTATAAAAAAAAAAATACCAAATCAAATGCGGTTAAAAGGAATTGTATGCGATGTCAGTTTTAGCGTCCTGATCCTGAATTGTCAAATCTGTTCAAAAACATTATGATGTACTTACATCACGGTTAGATTTTGCGGGAAAGCTGTCTCCGACTAATAAACAGAAAAAAAAAGTGTATTTGAAAGTTGTAAAACTTTCAAAAAAACTCAGTAAACAAACTTATAGGGTGAATGACGTACAAAGGAGACGATTCCAAAAATTAATGACAGATGATAGCCATACCTCTGCATGTACTGATCTACCGGAAGTTGACAATCATACCACGTACACTTGCGAGTGGGAACAGTTCCCAAGATCCTTTGTGTGAGATCCTTTCACTATTTCTCATTTTGGCAGCTGTACAATTCGAAAAAATAAACTTCAATCATTAAGTTTGGCGTTTCCTGATTGAAATCGAAAGAATTTTTCGGGATTCATCCAACGGGATGCTTTCCATCATGCATCAGCGCTTGTCGTGATTACATATCACCTCTGTGCAAATACGTCACCTAAATTGGTGTTAGGTTACATCTCGCAGTCATAATCATGTCGTCGATGTTGTTATTTCACCGAGCATTTCCTACTTGACCTGTGCCAGACTAGAAACTCTCTGTTCTTTGTGTGCTGATTATTTTAACAGCCGCACTAGTGATAATCCCCTCGTGAACACAGCTTCAACTGAAGAGTCAGTGTGTTATTGTAAATCGATGATGTCCCGTTTCAACCTTCCTTATTACGCTGGCCGCTTGGTTCTTGTAACCCTTCTCATAGCACCGACATTGTTTTACGTTTTTCGGCCGGATCATCCACCCCACGCCGATTTCTATGAGTAAGTATTGAACTGAATACACGAACAGTATCAATGGCGTAGGTGAAGCAATATATTCAAATATACATATAAAGATGTAGATGGATTTCTTTCATAAAATGCTCCGTTTGAAAAGTGCAGGACCGCAACCAATTTGTTAAGGTTATCTTTATCACTGAACACCAGGGACCGCTATAAAAACATACTAACAAGGGTTAATTCAGACATGTACCAAGTACTAGACTCAATGCTCATTGATTGTGGGAATTGAGGGGAAAATGGCTCAAAGATGTCGTGTACAGACACGAATTGTTGCGGGCGGCGAGTGTCAATCGCTACATGCTTGTGCATACGTGATAATTGTGTGTCGAGGATCAAACATTTTGTTATAAGTTAAGCTGTTAGTAAATAAGGACGTTTTATGAATTGTTATTTCACTTTCGCATGTTACAACCCGTATATTTCAAAGTTTTCCGGTTCACTTTAGTCTGATCGAGTCTGGGGAAGATTAGAAGAGGTTCAATGCTGACACTCACGTATCCATTTTTTAAAATGGATATGTGAGGTGTTGTCTTTCCCGTGCTGTTTAAAGTCAGAATTTGTGAGATACCCTCCCCCAAAAAATTTAAGAAACTTCAATCGAGTTATCATACGGTAGTTGTAACTTTTCCTGATGATTGCCGACATAGTACGCCAATAAAGAAAGAAAAACGATCAGTAACGAACTAAGCAAGAGTATTTTCTCGCTACCTCCCGGTTTTTCCTGATCTTTCTTGAGTTTCGAAACAGCTGGCGTAAATTTCATCGGAAGCTGCTCGTAACAAAGAAAACACTCAAAAAAGAAATAAATCGGACGCTTTTTTGTTGGATCAGTAGATATAAAATTTGGCTTTATGTGTTGGAAAATGTGAGATGTAAACAACGTTGACCAGGCTATGCGATATTTCTAACCACTTTGATATCGTTTTAAAAAGTAACAAGACGTGATGTTTACGATTCGTTATGTTTATGAATGAATTGGCTTGCTAGAAATGATTTATCTGTATACTTTTCATTTGAAGCACGATTCTTTTAATCAAAATGTTTTCACGCGTGTGTGCTGGAACAATTTTGTAATATTATTATATAAAGGCCACATCATCAACGCTATGTAAGAACTAATTGTCTAAGGGGAAAATTTATTTCTATTCATTTATTTTTAAATGCTCGTGACTGTCTTATCCTTGCTAGTTAGGTCAAATGTTAAGCGAAGGTTCAGACGAATTTTTCCGAGTTATTCGAAACCTTTTATGATTTATAACGAGTGGATTTATTTGAGTTTTGAAAGTTCACTTATGGCTGTCAAATCTAAAGCAATATTAAAGCATTCAAACACGATCTGATAGGCGATGATCGATAAAGTTTAATCCGGCGGCGAAAACGACAAGAAGATTACCAAAGCAACGGTTTCACAAGCAAAACAAACCCAAATTTGTTCACCAATGATCGACTCACATCAAGTGGACTTCAAGTACAAAATACACAAGCGTACACTTTTTTTAGTCTCAAGGCGTTTTCACCAATGTTTCACCAAGGCGTTTTCACCAATGATCGACTCACATCAAGTGGACTTCAAGTACAAAATACACAAGCGTACACTTTTTTTAGTCTCAAGGCGTTTTGCTGGCAAAGGTTCAGTCGCGGTATACAGGTTATAATTTTCGTCCATCCAGATCAGTTTTTCATAGAAAGTCGTCTTGACGTCGTCGTAAAATTCTGTTGATCGGAGTCAGGGTTACTTTTAATAGTATTTGGTTGTTTCGCCTCTTGTGGAGAAGTGATCTAGTTATTTTAATTTGCCAGATTGCCCGCCCTGTTGGGACAGGGCTTTTCAAGTTCCCAAATACAATTAGCTTTGATGCTTCTTCAATGTTTTGATGTTGAGCGAGTGTTCCAAATGTGCAAAAATTATGTTCGGCTGCTCAACATATATGTCTCTTTACTGTGCTGCAGGCCTATAAATTGGAGATAACCAGAGTGGAAAAAGAAAGTTGTGTTGCTCTGATACGCAGAATAAATGGATAATAGAACTGAATTTACGCATAACCTTTTAACATTCAGTAATGTGGAAAGCCTTAATCCTCGTTCTTTAATTTTTTTAGATCTAATTCCACAAGGACAAATCAAACCTCAAGCAGTAAAGGTAAATTGAAAATTTCCTGTCTTTTTTTTTTACTGCCATGGCAACTGTGAAAACTTTCGACTGAAATCACAGCGATAAGTGCCAATACGATATTATTTCTATTATTAGACGCCGGGAAAAAGTTCTCTACTTCTGCTTTCTGTCATTCAGACGATCAAGAGAAAAGGAGAGCACGCTGTGTTTATTTTAACTGTAGATGTACATAAAACTTCATCACTCATTGTTAGAGTTCCTTATTTCTCTTTTTCTCCAACAGATAGTCCGCTCGAGTGCAACTCACCCCTAATCCCGGATAATAATACCGGCCAATGTCGACCGCCGTGTGCCTGGACCTCACAGTCTCCTTTGACTCAGAAGGTGTACTATGGAGTTGTTGTGATTAGTCTGTGGTTGGCGCTTATTGCAACAATCATCACGTTTATCACTTGGGCCAGCATAAAAAGCCTGTAAGTTTTGCTTAAAATATTATTCTGGAACAAGTATTTTCAACTAATTAGTGTTCTTAACAAACCAGTAGGTTACCAGAAATATTGCGAAATCTACGGAATGAATGTAATTTATTTCTAGAAATCCCAGGATGAGTTCACGTTATGTTACAAACCCGAGCTAACGTTATTCTACGTTTTTCTTTTTCTTTTTTCAGCCGCGAGTTTCCTCACGTTTTACGTTTTCACATAATTCTCTGCTGCATTTTGCTTGGTAAGAAGCCGTGTTGTAAGGGGAGATGTTCTTTTTATAAATTGTAGAGAACGAGGATAAATTTTGCTTTAGGTTTTGAACCCATGTCGAAAAGATCCATTAGTGAACAAATACATTAAGTTTGTGATTAACACTCTTGACAATCACAAAGCCTCCTCGACGTATTGGACTAATAAAATGGATTAAGAAAGAATTCATGCCCACAAGCCGAGTTTTTCTAGTAGCAATACCCCTGCAGTGTTAGTTCATGATGGGCGGCCCCCCACCCCACCCCACTGGTGGATGGAGAGGCATCGTCGAAATAAACTTGGATAAATCTTTCAAGTTTCGACAGTTTGGCTAAGCGCAATTACATCTAAAGGATTAATCATGTTTTCGCTCTTTGTTAATCGCCTTTCTCTTTTACTTAGCCTGCTTCAAAATGATTCCAGTACGGATAGGACTTGAGAAAGTTTTCTGTCGTGAACAGGCCTTTTGGCAGGCAGGAGGTCATTCTTCGCTCTCTGCAGTAATTCTAGGTATGCTTTACATACTGACTTTGTCCTGGTTGTGTTCAGTTTTTCATGGATTTTTGCCCAGACATTTGGTTGTAGAATATTGTAACTAATAAACTTGTACATGAACACATTTTTAGATTTTTAACTTTACGATAATGGTACCTTGAACTTTTTGTTTCGGTATCCATCAAGACTCCTTTTCAAAGAACGTAAAAGCTTTTGTGTCTTGTCACTTAAAGCGATCGCAAAAATTTTATAAAGGTGGGAGTCGAAAACACTACTTTCATGTAACATGTCAAAGACAAATTTGTATTTTTTGACTGGTCTAAATAATCGACGAAAAATTGTGAAAGAATCAATGAATTTTTTCTAAATTAGGCTTAACTTATTTCTTCTCCGAGTTCACATTCTTGTGCAGTAACGACTTCATTTCTTCATTGATTGACAGGTGCTGGGTCTCATTATTTGTTTCTGGCGCATTCTTTTTGGGCCATGTGCTTCGTAGCGAATACTTATGCAGTGATCATTCACGACAATCGAACTGTCTTCAAACACCCAATCAAAATCCATCTTGCGCAGTCGATGCTGAGCTGGCTGGTGCCCGCATTCATAGTGGCCGGCTGTCTTTACGTTTCTCCACCCGGCTACACGTTTCTCTTTATGGATCATATGTCTGCAGGTGCACAGAGCATTCAAATGGCTTACTTCGCCGTCACGCTACCCCTGCAAGTCACGTTATTTGTGTCACTTAACCTGCTCTGGTCCATCGTGTGGCATCTCAGAAAGGTTAAACTTTTTCTTAGTAACTCAAGCTATAGTCTCACCGCTATTTTCTCAATAGGTTACATTTTTTTTTACGAGCTTGTTAGCTGTACAATTCCCTTGCCCTTTGTTTGCGTTTCCTCCGCACGTGAAATCAAGTAATTGTTTTTCCGGATTGTTCAAGTTTGTATCCAAGTTTATGGCTCTCAGCAACTTTGTGAAAGCCATTTTTTCGCCTAAACTATTCGGTGTCCTCTGAATAAGGGCTGACAGGGCCATAGGCATGACTTTTTAATGGGGGTAATTGGTACTTTTGCCATAAGTACACCCTGAGCCTTCCTGGAATTTGTGTTCGCGTGCTTATGCTACCTCTCTAAAATGAGTGCAGTTAGGTGACAGGCACTATTAACACGAGATAAATCGATTTTGATGCAAGATTGCACAAATCAAACACGGTTACCAAACTTTTGAAAAAATTGAAAGAAATATATATTTTTTTTCTCTCATTAGGCGCGCCTGGACTCGACCAGACGTGTTATTCGTGCCAGAGAAGAGAAAGTTTCCATGCGCCGAATCGAACGTCAGTTTTTGAGCATGGCTGTTGTTATGATGGTTTTAGCGGCAACTGTTGGGTCGATCAATACTATGATAATGTACCGTACGGACAAATTTTTGCACGATGCTGAAATGTACTTTCATTGTCTGCAGGTAAATAAGCTGAAAGACATTCTTCCATAGATGGCGACCTTCCTGCGCCACTGCGATTCAAGTGTCACAATACATTTGCTAGTTTAAAACGGACTCTCCCCTCTTCTCTCCACCCCTTGCAATATTCTTGTATTTACTCGAAAATAAAATCGCATGGGCTGGGACTTTCTATGACAACGGAAAAATATTCTAGTTGGTTGCCTGAGCGAATGACTCCTCAGCAAGTTGTGTGTACAAGGCGCTGCAAATTCTACCAGTAGAAAAATGCATAGAAGAAATGATATTGTTCCGACTAGACAAAATTTTTGTTAAACAGTATAAAGATAAAATTCCGAATCTATCCTATTAAAACCTTTTCGGCGTAAAAAGCTAATTTTGTTAGTGAAATGTAGAAAATAAACAAAGAAATGAATGCAGAAATACAAGACATCGCCACATTTTCACAACCAACCAGTTTACAGTTGCAAATCCATTGATAACTGGTCGCAATGTTGACTTACGTGGGTATTCTCTTAAATTCTCATTGCTACAATTGTGTAATACTGCAAGTAGGAGTGGTCTTTGCGCATAGAACACTTTTCGCTTCTTGTGTAAGATATTCAAGGGTAACCCTGCTTATAGTTCAAGCCTTATTTTTTTTTTACTGACACTTCCACGTGATTTGCTGTCGTTCTTTCAGACTTCAAGTAACTGCACTTCACCCACTTATTTCACTGTGCTTCCACTGATCAACTTAGTGGCCCCAGGCTTCCTCTGCCTGGTGTTCTTTTTCCTGTTACTTATGAACAAAGACTGCCGTCAGATATGGACGGGGTATTTCGCCAAGTGCAAGAAGTGTTTCCGGCTATGTGGACAGCCTTTGAGAAAACCTCGTGCCGACACTGAACTCAGTAAAGACTCCAGATGTTCCTCAGTTCTTACCGTGTTGAGTCCAGATCCCAGAAGTTCGGAGTTGTACGGCAGCCAAACATTGGTTGATCCTAAGAACAGAATACTTCCTTCCTTTCCTTTGCCGCGTAGCGTCGCCAGATTAAAAGCAGAAAGCGTTATACTGGTAGGGATAAAACCTAGAGCATCTACGCTAAGTTTGCCAGCGATGATGGGTCCAAAAGTGAATATTTCAAATTCAACTTTTCAGATCCCTTCGTCACCGAATGGGTTGGATCCACGATCAAGAAGTACTTCAGTACCTGTAATTCTTCAACAAGAACCGGGAACAGCTAGCACCGACAGTGAACAAGGACGCGTTAACTCTTATATTCTCAGTGCACTGTCACGAGATTTAGAAGTTTCGAGAAGTATTAACAGCGAGGATTCTGATGCAAACAGCGAAACTGACAAATTCATTTCGAAATCTTCGGAATCTCCTTCCCCGTCTTAACAAATAGAATTTTAAGCTTAAAATTAACGATCGTACACGCTGAGGCTTTAAACAAGAAAAAATATGAACTTGGACAAGTTAGATATTTAAATGCTAGTGGTTTATGAGTTTACACTACTGAAAACAAGAAAATTTAAGTTGTTATACATTTTCTTTCCTCTTGATCTTAGGCGGGTCAAAGCAATTGTTAGTGGATGCAATTTACTTTTCAACAGCATTTCCAATTGTTGATAGTTTTTTCTGAAGTGAAATATCGCGGCCTAACTTGTGTATAGGAGAAGCTATGATGATGAAAACGATGTCGTCGCATCGACGATCATGAAGACAACGTTGGTTGTGATAATGACTACTAGCTTGTTCCAGACTTTCAGTCAGTAAAACCAAGCGCGAGAGTAAATTGGGACCATTGTGGCAGAGGGAGGTTAGGATCGAGTAAGCGACTCGGCCAAAGCCTCCCTAGTTTTTCACTCTATGGCTGGACCTTTTGCTATTTCGCACGGATTTCGCTCTGTTTTACTTGGTGAAATGCCTGGAACAGTTTAGATAATGACACACTATGGCAGTGACTATGATGATAATGGTGACTACACAGGTGGCACAAGCTCCGTCACAGGCTCTTTCACAGTGGATTATTAAAGAGTTTGTATAGTGGTTTAGTTGGACTTGCTTTTGAGCTCCTTAAATGAAAAGTTGTGTGAAATAATCAAAGAAATAAAGTCTTACCTTCATAGAGAGTAGTCTGCGTTGTTCTCCTCGCGATTTGAGGCCGTTTTGATGTGTTTTAGCTTGACGCCCTAATCACCACCGAGTCACCGTGCACAAGATACGGGAAGGTAGGAAACTTCTGTTGATACATGCTCGCCAAAATCGCTCGAAAACAACCCTCAGATACTTTCCCTCGAATCAAAACATGGCACCACGAAAGCCAAATAGTTGCCCTTTAAGTTCAACGAAAAAAATCCCACAAAAGTTGGTTTGTCAAGCAACCAATCCAGCGAGAATTTCAAATTAACGGCCGTTCTGAATTCTTCCAATGCGTGGAAGGAACATCTTGTGCAGCTGAGAGACCGTTAATGCGCGGTCAACCTGGACTATGGGGAGAACCCGTTGAGAGAGATTTGACTAGGGTTCAGGTTGACCGCGCATTAACGGTCTCTCAACTGCACAAAATGTTCCTTCCACGCATTGGAAGAATTCAGAACGGCCGTTAATTTGAAATTCTCGCTGGATTGGTTGCTTGACAAACCAACTTTTGTGGGATTTTTTTCGGTGAACAATTTTTATATACCAAATATTAAGTATTTATTGTCGTGTCTTAAAATATTTATGTTACATCTATGAGAGTGTTTAAGGAGATTTGTAAATTAAAGTTAAGTGTATGGTGACACAAATGGCTGGCTCCATTTTTGTGTATTTAAACCACACAGAATGACCCACAATTCCTCTGATCTTTCTGACGAAGGGCTAGCGCTCGAACTTCAGTTTTAGAAACTATTTCCGATGGCCAATTTACATTATCAACTCAGGTGATAAAACCAGATTCCTTGTAATATTCCCCCCCTCCCCTCCCTAACTCGTAACCGACGCTTCACTGAGCACAACAGTTTCTTTAGCAACTTACCCCTCTGTTTCCTTTTGCAGATTTATGTGAACATCTCCATCTTTTTTCCCATATTTTGCATGACAGCAGTTATTTCTTAGGTTTTTATTTTTTCGGAAATTGGACGTGGACATTTGCAATGATCTCTCTTCCACATCCTTGACGTTTGACATGTGTTTCATCGGCTCAAATCCCTGAACGACAATAGTAGTCAGCGGATCTTTTGAAATGTTATGTAATACACGTTAACGAGTGTCAACAGCAGTCTTGTAAATAATAACCTGAGCCATGGACTTGAAACGTAAAGTAAAGCGATCTGAAAATATCCGCGGATCCAGTAGCGTTACAGATTACAGTGAGTCTGGGAGTATCATTTTACGGGTGCAACATGCTCAATCATTGCTCACAGCCTTGGAAAACATGCGAAGACGTGACGAATTATGCGATGTGGAACTGATAGTGGCCGGCAAAGAAATTAAAGCACACCGCGTTGTTCTGGCCGCCGTGAGTCCTTATTTCAATGCAATGTTTACGAGTGATGTTGTAGAGAGTAAACAGAAGGTCGTACATTTAAATGATTTGGATCCTTTGGCAGTTCATATGGCAGTGGAGTTTGCTTATGTTGCGAGAGTCAACTTAACGGTTGACAATGTCCAGTCACTTTTGACCGTAGCGACTTTACTGCAAATGGACACCTTGGTGGAAAAATGTTGCTATTTTTTAGAGAATGAACTTCATCCTTCAAATTGTCTCGGTATACGGCGTTTTGCCAAGAATCACGGCTGCTTTGTGCTAAGTAAAACAGCCAATGAGTATGCTATGAGAAATTTCAACCACACGACACAAATGGAAGAGTTCTTCCAATGTCCTTTAGAAGAAGTTCTTGAACTACTGAGTGAGGATTCTTTGCATGTGAGGCACGAGGAAGAAGTGTACGAGGCTGCTTTACGGTGGATGAACTTCAAGAAACATGAAAGACTAAAAGTAGTTCCTCAAATAGCAGAGATAATCAGGTTCCCATTGATGGCTTGGGAGTTTCTTGTGACAAAGGTACTGGATGATGGGTTTATCACCGGTCAAGGTGACAACTGTCATCTATTTGAGGAGGCCAGAATGTATCATCTGTGTCCCCAGTTACGCAGTGACATGAAGCATCGCAGCAGATTTCGGCCACGAAAATTGTATGGCCAGGCCGAGTGCATCTATGTCATGGGTGGAGAAGTAAATCCTGGTGAGAATTATTGAATCTTTAGTCCCAGTCCTTTCCCAGAATAGCAAAAACATACTGGAAATGTTGTCTAAATAATCATTGATTCCTCTGTGCTTGCTTACAGGGATGTTACAGAATGTCTTTTTTTCTGAAAATGATCAATTTTAAAACTTTTTTAAGGGCTTCTGTACATAGTGTCCCACCAGTTTCAGCAATTTTTTTGTGTAAATCCAAATTCTTCAGAATTCCCTGATGGTTTGCTGTAATGAATTTATACTTGTAGAAGGAGAGGGACCTGTCAGGGTTAAGAGTCTTTGCCAAGAACACAATCTGATGACCTTATCAGGGCTTTATCCCTGATCTACATACATGACTTGTATATGTACCTGCCATCCAGCAGACCAACTGACATATCGCCTCATCTCCCACAATTCCATGCTCTTATCAATTTATTTAATGTAGTCTGAGTATTTACATGGTTACAGTCAGATTCCAATAATTAGAACCTTCAAGGGAAATTGAAAAAAGCTCATAATTATATTGGGAGTTCAAGTTGTCAGGAGTTGAAAACAAATGATGGGTAATAAAGGAAAAATGGTGTTTTACATTAAATGTGAAGGCAAACTATATAAGAAAATCTTCCCTGGGAGGACCTAGGCTCATTTGTCACTCACTGTTGACGTGTGCGGGTCAAATTTAAATGCTGGTAGAC